CTCGAAATGTTTCTTTACTTAAGAAATGGATCACAGCCACATATTCTGTCTTACCTCAAAGTTTTGATATAATCCTAGAAAGCCAAGCCCCCTCCAAAAGTTAATCATCTTTCTGGACGCAGTGAGTCAGTTCCCTGTAATGTACTTGAAAGCATTACGTGGGAACCAATGGACCAAATCAAGTTGGCAAGAAGGAAGAGATATCTAGCATTTCCACTTAGGAGTCCTCACCTTTCAAGCAAGAGATCTACCTCATCCAGTAGTCACTTCTTTGTATACGCCATCAATGCTTGATTCTCTCACTTTTCATCATAATGACCTGGCAAAAGCCCAACCTTGGTTAAACCCAACTCTCCATCCACTTTGTTCCTGCATTTGAGGGATAAACATTGGTACAAATTATACCTCAATGTAGTAACTAGTCTCATATTAAATAGATGACCTCTGACTTCAAGTGGAGCCTTAGTTCTGCCTGCCAACTCTACTATATTCCTTTAATATATCCACTCTTCCATTGAATTTTATAACTACATAAATAACCTAGTCACATCTTTTATGTCCTCAGACCTCTAACATCTTTTCCCCTTTCTTTGATTTTCAGAAGACCTTGATTCCCATTTGACTATGAAAATTGAGCAATAGGAAGAGAATGTCTTCCAAGGTTCCATAACCTCAGCAACCAACCAGGTTGTATTGTACTCACACCCTCAGACTTACTTCTCATTAGCTTAAATGAATAAAGTTCCTATATAAGACCAACCTCCACACCTGTGCATGATGTCATCATCGACCCCTTTCCTCTACTCAAGAATATTACTCTGTCAAATATCCTCTCCCTATCCCTGAATTATCTTTCATATTATAGCTCATAAGGGGTGCTTTTTAAGTGAACCAGGGGAGGATTTCTAGTGAAAAGTAGTTGAGCAGAACAGTAATCCCCAATATCTTTGGGCCCCCACAACAAACTAAGGAAAATAATGGAATATTATACATGTGAAAAGCCCTAACATTTTCTACTCCCATGCCAACTCCTTCTCTATTCTTAACTGGCAATTTAAAGTCTACGAAAAGCATAGAAGCATCTAAGATTCCATCACCAGAGAATGAAGAAATGTGTAGGTTGGTGGGAAATTCTGTCTCCTCTCCCATAGAATTATTGTTTACAGTTGATTTGCCAAATAAAATAAATATCTACTA